GCAAGACTGCGTAACTAACATCCAACATGGGAGGAAATATCTTTGCCTTCCTGTGCCCAGGGCTCTACTGTCGAAGGGCCTGACTTGGTCATGTCTTCCCGTGAGAAAAAGGTACAGTTATCTCTGGCTGCAGACTCCTTTTGAGTGACACAATTACGACTCTGTGTGGACTCAGGGGAGGCTTCCAGAAACAAAACACAGCTATCTTCAGCTGCCTGAGCACATGGGTGCTGCCTCCAAGTGATCATTATACTTAGTGATTTTTAAAGTTCTTCTAACACTGTTTTTTATTTTGGTTTTTTGGTGGCACTAGGGTTTGAACTCAGGGTCTCACACACTTGCTAGGCAGGTACTCTTACCACTGGAGCCACTACACCAGTCCTGTTTTGTGTTGGGTGTTTTAGAGATAGGGTCTCTCAACCTGTTTGCCTGGCCTGGCTTCAAGCCTCAATCCTTCATGATCTCTGCCTCCCAAGTAGCTAGGATTACAGTCATAAGCACTGGCACCAGGCTCTCTTCTAATACTTAACACATACTTCTCCAGCATACTTCTCCCTGGTCCATTAGTGCTCACTGAAGAATCTCAAAACACTTGACCACCACCTGTGAATCACACAGGATCAATATATCAAGGGTTTTACTTCTTTTTTCTTGTTTTCCCCCAAAGGAGCACATTAAAATATTTATTCATATTCTGTTTTAAATGTATATTTGTGGACTGTCCAAAGGCAAAGTACTCCTCAGACTCCTGGAAGTTTTAAATGATCATGCAACTTTGGAAGATGAAAACTCCAAAATCTACATCAAGAACATCCTTTGTGCACAGGTGGTGTTCAGCTAGTAGCAGTCGGCTTCAACTACCCATTTTCCACATGAACAAAACTTAATTTGAAATTGGTCAAGTAAAGCCACACTCCCAATGTTGGCAGACTCCAAGATCACCTATGAACACAAATTAATATAAATGGATGAACTGTTGCTTATGCAGCTCCTCTACAAACACACCAAGTTTAACAGTGGGAAGAGACTGAAAAGCATGTCTTGACAGCACATTCACTAGTTTCCAAAGGTAAACAGCAAGAAAGGCTAAAGGGCTTTACTTCCTAAGGTGTCCAGTATGTGAACACAGCCTGGAATGGTCTGTGCTCTCTGATGCCAACTATTAACGTTAGTTTCCACATCCAGGTGCTAAAGAAAAGTCACATATTTTAGTATGTATTTTTCACCAGAAGAGAAATAACAGCACTGCTTGGAGCCACAATCTTTGAACTAAAAACTAGGTGGGTGGAGTACTGACCCAAACAGTTCTGCTTAAAGCAGGCTCTGAAGTTTAAGTTGGCAGAAGAAAACTGGAAATCACCTTAGGGTCTAGGGACAAGGCAGAGAGGACTTCAGGGTGAATCACACACTTGAACCACTCACTCCCAAAGACAGGAGGTGAAGAGATCTAGGAGATGCTGATGCTATTGCATGGCCACCAACTGAGACAAACCTATGAGCTATGACCCACTGACAGTGGTACAAGTATTAATTCTGAGAACCATAGCTTGGGAGACTGCCATGTTTACTGAAGGCTATAGAAGAGAAAAGGACATCAGGGAGCAACTTGAACAGTGGCAAGATATCATCAAAACTCATGTCTGAGGGGCCTTAGCAGGGGAGCTGGTTTATTTCCTAGTCCTCTTGACAGTGACACACCAATGATTCTATTTAAAAAAAAAACAAAAACAGTCTACCCTGTTTTTAGAGACCTACAATGAAGAGAAGTTGAGAGCCTAGACTTTAACTCAACTCTAGCTTTTCATGTTGCACTCCCTACTTTTTTTTTTTTTTTTTTTTTTTTGCAGTACAGGGGGTTTAACTTAGAGCCTTGTGCTTGCTAGGCAGGCACTCTTCTACCTGAGCCACACTGCTAGCCCACAACCACTACTTCAACTGGTTCTCAGTGCAAGAGATTAATATCTACCACAAGTACCTCAAAGAATTGGAGTAAGGAACATGTGATGAAACAGAAATGCTGTGACAATTACGAAACTGTTTCTCCCGAGTAAAAGCCCTTTCTATATTCCACTTGCTGATCTCTGCTGAAGCAGAATTAGCTCCTTGCAAGAGAACAACATGAGCTGACCTGGTTGGGAGGAAGAATACAGTGACCAGGCCTTGAAAACTGTATTACCTATTCACAAATTAAGTCACAGTAACAAACCTCAAGCCTGAACAGTAGCATACTATCCCTCCAGCCTGAAAAGCTGGGGAGGCTCAGGAAGCCAAGTTCTCCAAACATCCCACTCAATGCTTCCTGACAGACTCTGCTGAGAGAGAAATGACAGTAAACTAACTTTTGTAAGATTTTCATGTCAAAGCACATAGCTGCACTGTTTTGTGTGTAAACACACTACCAGTCACTTAACAGTAAGACAAACTTAAGTGTCCTAATTCTGCTATAACATAGCAATGTTTCACTCAGATTTTGCTTATTTAAAACACATATACTCAGCTGGATGTAGTGGTAAACACCTGTAATCCCAGCTACTCGGGAGGCACAGACAAGAGAATTTAGAGTTTGAGGGCAACCTACAAAGTGAGACCTATCTCAAAAACAAAATAAAAACAAAAGGGCTAGGGGCATGGCTTAAGTGGTAGAGTGTTTGCCCAGTGAGCACTGGGTTTAATCCCCAGCATGGCAAACAAAAAAAAAAAGCAAGAAATAGCCTACCATTTTGCCACCTGTCTATTTCACAAGCATAAAAATTCATGATGTGACAATTTTAAATTGAATTAGTGCCATTAAAATAACAACTATGAAACATTTTTTAAAATGTTTACTGCAGCAAAATACTTTGGCAGACTTTTTTTTTTTTTTTTGTGGTACTGGGGCTTGAACTCAGGACTTTCACCTTGAGCCACTCCACCAGCCCTATTTTTGTAAAGGGTTTTTCATGATAGGGTCTTGCAAATTATTTGACTGGGCTGGCTTGGAACCTCAGTCCTCCTGATCTTTGCCTCCTAAGCAGCTAGGATTATAGGCTCGAGTCACTGGGGCCCAGCTCAGACTGATATTTTCTTATTATGACAGGCTAAGTAAAAACTGAAATACCAAAGACTCCAAAGAATTTCTTAAAAGAGCAGTAAGGGGGGGGAAAAAAAAAAAGAAAAGGAACAATGAAAATAGAGAGGCAGTGTCTATGCCCTATTAGTAAGACATCTAAACTAGTACATATGTTGTGATCTGTTCTGCCTCACTTTGCTATTCTAAGACATTAGTACCGTCTGCACTGGTTGAAGTCATGTTCAAATTCATGATATGGGAGGACAACACTAAAGGACAAGTTAAAGTCCTATACTCTAGAGCAGTGGCTCTTTTCCACTTCTGTCCCAAGGCTCCTGTGTGTGCTGCCTCATAAATACCGAGATGAACTCATATAAAACATTACCTACCGATATATAAAATTTTAAACCAACCAAACACCCATTCAAAAAGGAAAATAATTCCTAACACAATTCTTACTCCATTTGCACATCAGGCATGACCATATGAGCAGACATGGCAAGGCGAGAAGAGTAAGCTCAAAGGAAGATGGTGACGGGGAAACAGTAATACTGAGCCATGCCCTAAACCAAGGCCTCCCTCAATGCTTCAGGGAAGCCCTGCCTCTGGAGGAAACTTGACTTTCCTGCTCTGAGTTACAGAGACTGAGAATACCTCAGTAGCTAGTAACCACTAAGGACCAGGCAGTCATGGACAATTTGGAAAAGTCTGAAAAGGGAGATGGGTTGGGGCAGGCTCCAAACAAAAAAGGGTTTGTACAGTTACAGTGTAGGTAAGAATCTGTGGGTCTAGATAAGAAATTTTTATTTCCACACCCCCTAAACAAATAAGCTTGTCCCTTAATCCTCCATTGACTCAGCAGATGCAGAGCTAAATGGTCCTACCCCTTTGCCACCATAGTGCCCCAGAAAGAACATGGTGACTCTCCTTCCATCCTGACTTTCTACACTACAAAATGGTAGGCCAAGCAATGTTTGCAATTTTCTAATTCTGACCTTCATCTTAGGCAGTAGAAAATGTGGTCTTGGTCAGAATCATAAAGACTGCTTCTTGCTATTGTTGCTGTTTGTTAGTTTGCTTTTCGGGTACAAGGGATTGCAGTCAGTGCTCTGCTCTGCCATGTGAGCCATGCCCCAGACCAACTTCATGAAGATTGTTAAAAGGCAGGCTAGGGTGTAGCTTAGTGGTAGAACACTTGCCTAGCATATGCAATGCCTTGGGTTCCATTCCCAGCATGAGCAAAAATGAGTGAGAGAGAGAGAGAGAGAGAGAGAGAGAGAGAGAGTGTGTGTGTGTGTGTGTGTGTTGTTGAGAGGCTCTTTGTTTCCAAGACAGCACTGTGTTCTCTGCACCACCCTTAAGGAAAAACGGCTTAATAGTGAGAGATCCTTTGCAGACAGCTGAAAGCTAAGGAAAACAAAAAACAATCCAAGTTTAAAAGACAGGCTCTGCCTAGATGCTCCCAACAGCCTTCTCAGAGATGCATGCGGTTTCTTACTGACACACAATAGAACATATAATTCTTTTTTTTTTTTAATTGTGGCTCAGTATTCCACTATTCAGATACTCTAGTTTTTTGTGTAATTAATTAATTCCTTCTTATAAAATGTCTTGGCAGTTTCTCTACTATTACTCAATAAGTGGTGTTAATAATAACTTTTAAAAAGTTCACATTCATATATTTTAAAAAACTGTCAACAAAAAAGCCCAAAAATGGACAAAGAAAGCAACTTCACTTGTAGGGTTAAGAGTTAAAACTTAAAAAAAAAAAAAAAGAGGAGGAAAAGAATCTACAAAGAGCAGTGGTTAAACCACAAATCAAGTGCTTTTTTTTTTTAACACTTCCCCAAATTCTACCTCCTAACTACCCCATGAGCCACCAAAGCTTCTTCCTCTTCATCCTCCTATTCCACTTGACCAATGACCATGCCAATCCATAAGGAAAAATTACCTGCATTTAAAATACACAGTCCCTTCGTGGCTGCCATCATGCTTGCCTCTCTTGGGATTGTCCCACTCTACTCCTAACCAGAGTCCTAGTAGAACAAGAAAAACACATGAGTCACAAAGACCACAGAAGTTGCTCCATTTTCCTGCAATGGAAACCATATCACACAGGTAGCACTGGAACAGGAGGGTATGTCTGTGGACAGACAAGTTCATCTTACACTCAGAATTTCAATCAGCAAACACAACAGCATGTAGGGGGTCAAAAAGCCAACAAAAGGTACAACAGCAGAACGCAAAACAGCTAAAATTATTAAGCATGCTAAATATGGATGAACCTTGAAGACATTATGCTAAGTGACGTAAACCACAATAAAAGGACAAATACTACATGATTCCACACTCGATAAGGTACATAAAAGATAGTTCACATGGCTAAGTTTTGTTATGTGTGTCTGATCACAACTCGGAATTTCAAATTAAAAATGGTTAAAATGGCAAATCTAATGCTACAAACATATAACACAACAAAAAATTATCCAAAAGAAAAGAATGAAGGTTAAAAAAAAGATAATCTCAGCAAAGAAAAACCAATAGAGGTAGCCTACAAAAAAAAAAAAAAAAAAAGACCCCTTGGCTAAAAGGGGCAAGTAAAGAGTAAATATATGGGCAAATCTAAATTGTACTGCTAATATAATATAACAATAGTATCAGGTCTTTGGGTTTGAAGCACACATAAATTAAAATCCAACATGAGCAGAAAGGGGGTAAATGCAGCTAAAGGGAGCTGATGCTTGCAGGTCTTTGCATGAGTCCTAAAAGAGTTGGTAAGAATCACTCACTTTTATTAAGGGTTTGTAAGTCAGAGCTGCATCAACTGGCAGAACCCTTGTCTAGCAAGTGCAAGGCCGAGTTCAAACCCCAGCACCAGCTCCCCCCTCCCACAAGTCAGAGCTGAGCCAGGCACCGTGGCTCACACCTGTAACCGTAGCTACTCAGGAGGATCACAGTTCAAAGCCAGCCCAGGCAAATAGTACTCGAGACCCTATCTCAAAAGAATCCTCCATAAAAAAGGGCTGGTAGAGTGCCTCAAGGTGGAGGCCCTGAGGTTTGAACACCAGAACTAAAAAAAAAAAAAGTCAGCTGAGTAGTTTTTTTGTAGTGAAAGAAATAGTAAAGTTTGTATTAGGAAGGAATTTAGCATAACAGGATAAGAGTGGGAAGAAACACTTCCTGCTCCTCCTGAAGGAAATGGGAGTAATGAGTCTCTCCCAGAGCTGAATACTTTAACCCCTAGATGAACCTTTTTTTTCTTCTTTTATCATTTTTACATTTACTTACATGTGTATACATTGTTTGTGCCACCTCCCTGCCAAGTCCCCCCTCCTCCTGCTTCCAGGAAGATCCAATTCCACCCTCTTTTTCTCCTATTTTGTTAAAGACAAAACGTAAGAGGTAATAAGAAAGAGCGTTTTTGCTGGTTTGAGATAAAGATAGCTATTCAGAGAGATTCCTAGTGTTGCTTCCATGCACTTGTGTATTGCAACCCACATTGTAGATGAACCGTTAAGTAATAATAAAAAAAAAAACTGTAAGTACCAATTTTAATAGAGGAAAAATAAATAAAATAATTCAATGAAGAGGTAAAAAAGAATGGAGCATCCTCAAGATAAACAGAAAGAAAATACTAAGATAATAGAGGTAAGTCCAAATTATCAGTAATTGAGTGAAACACAAATGGTCAAAATGTAACGCAGCTAAAAGTTGTGTTTAGAGGAGACTGACAGCCTTAAATGCATGTTAGATGAAGACTGAAAACAATCACCTGTCTCAAACTGTTCAGGGGTGGGAGGTAAAACAAAAAACTTCGACTCACGAAAGCATAAAGTAGATGATAATAAAGAGCAGAAATTAATTAGATAGAATGTGAATTAGGTGGTCTCTTGCCCTAAAACATCTCATATGTTCCAGCAAGGACACATGTGTAAACAGGGTCATATATAAAGAAATGTGATAATAAACGTAAGTACGGGTGCTATGGAAGCACAGGGAGGGGCACACTTAGTACTGTGGGTGGGGTATGTGGGAAAGGCGTGTAAGACAAGCAGTAATGTTTCAAGTGTTGCAGGGAAACTATCTGAGACAAAGGAGAGTATAAGAGCTCAGGACCCATTTAGGGAATCCCAAAACATCCAGGACCCATTTAGGGAATCCCAAAACATCCAGAACAGCTAGGACCCAGAGACTGGAATGGGAGCACAGGGCAAGAGAAAAAAATTAAAGGTGATAAAAGAGGTCAAACCCTGATGATGAAGGAAGTTGAGTCCAACTATAAAATTCTTGCACAATACTCTGAGGAGCTTAGCTTTATCCTGCATCTCATAAGAACTCTATTTAACAAGGATGGGCAGAAAGGATCTCAATTTTAAAGAAACTGAAACTTAGGGAAAACAGGTCCCTTGCCAGAATACGCTACAAATAAGGACCAGACCCAGGCCTAGCATGCAAATTCTCTTATGTCCTAATTAACTTTTTGTCAAATAAGGGCCATTATATAAGAAATAAGTACAATTGCTGCTATTCTTCAGAAGAACTATCAGAATAGGTTAAGCTCGTACGCTGGAGCTTGTCCATCAATGATAGAGTAGACGGTACAGACAAGAGGGCAAATGTAGGAGGTGGCTTGGCAGGACTGCCACACAGTTAGGACCCAACTTTGCAAGACCAGGATGATCAGACCACCCTCACCTCAGCCTGTCTAGCAAATCCAAACACGAAGACTTAAGCAAATACTAAACCACAAATTTAATTTGCAATGATAAATAAAGCTGTCTCACAATTACTCTGGTCAACATGACTTGTTTCCTAATCTCCCTGAACTCAAGCCACATGAAAAGTCAACCATAATCAGATGTGAATACACTTAAATCACAAGAATTAAAACTAATCAATCCAATGATCCAGCATCATGTTCCCATATATTTACCTGAACTGAAAATTTATGCCATACAAAAATTTACAATGTGGGTGTTTATAGGAGCTTTACTCAACTGCAAGAAGGAAAGCGATCTAGATGTCCTCTGCTAAGTGAGTGGGTAAAGTGTGGTCCACCAGGACAATGGGATATCATTCAACCATAATAGGGTTTGTGGAGTGGCTCAAGTGGTAGAGCACCTGCCTAGCAAGCCTGAGGCCCCTATTCAAACCCTGGTACTACAAAAACAAACAAAAAACATTAAAAATAGATGAGCTAGCAGGGTGCCAGTGGCTCACACTTATAATCCTACCTCCTCGAGATGGCCAAGGCCATCTGGGCGAAAAGTTCAAGACCCCAAATAATCTGTGAGACCCCATCTCCAATAACCAGAGCAAAAATGCTGGAGGTGTGACTCAAGCAGTAGAGTACCTGCTTTTCGACTGCCTGCTTTGCAAGAGTGAAGCCCTGAGGTGAAACACCAGTCCCACCAAAAAATAAATAAATAGTTCCCAGGAAGCCATCAGGGAAATGTAAATGAGTATTACTAACTGAAAGAAGGCACAGCAGGCACTGGTGGCTCACGCCTATAATCCTAGCTATTCAGAAGGCAGCACTCAAGACCAAGGTTTGAGGTCAGCCTGGGCAAACAGTTCAAGAGTCTCTATCTTGAAAATACCTAATACAAAAAAGGGCTGGCAGTATGGCTCAGGTGGTAGAGCACTTGCCTAGCAAGTGTGAAGTCCTGAGTTCAAACCCAGTACCACCAAAAACAACAACAAAAACCCAATAATAATTTCTAATACTTAAGATGACCATACTATAAGGCAGAGCTCTAAGTGCATTGCACACAACAATCCACTGAACCCTGGTAGCAGGCCTGCAATGTAGAAGACCACTCACTCACTTCAGCAGGACTGTGGGCTACAGAAACAGCACTAACTTGCAGGTGTTCTCTATCGGAAAACAACTTCACATGTTCAAAAGTCTTGACAAGTTACACCCGAGCACCAAAGTTTTTGTATCTATAAAATGTAGAAAAGGTGATCCTGGACCCAGAACTTTAGGTTAGAAATTACCAAACTGCTTATACAAGGGGCTGGTAGAGTGGCTCAGGTGGTCGAGCACCTGCCTAGCAAGTTAGAAGCCCTGAGTTCAAACCCCAGTACCAACATGCGCACACACACACACACACACACACACACACACACACACAGAGAGAGAGAGAGAGAGAGAGAGAGAGAGAGAGAGAGAGAGAGAGAGAGAGAAAATTGCCACAAGGTTGGGAATGTGGCTCAGTGGTACAGTTCTTGCCTAGCATGTCTCAGGCCCTGGGTTTGATTGCCAGCAAAAAAAAAAAAAAAAGAAAGAAAGGAAGGAGGGAGGGAGGGAGGAAAAGGAGGGGAGGGGAGAGAGGGAGAGAAGGGAAGGAAGTTCTGGGGCTAAAACCTGAACTGCACACATGCTAGGCAAATGCCAGTTAGCCATTTCTGCCATTTACTCCTAAAACATAAAAACATCATGTCAGTGCCACATTTAAATACACATACTCACATATATTTGTTTGGAAGAAGAATATTTGTTCTGGTACAAGGATAAAGGTGGGAAAAAAAGAGATAAAGGTGTGATTCACATAATCCCAACACTGGGGGGTGGGGGTGAGGGCGGAGGCAAGAGGGTCACGAGTTCAAGGCCAGCATGGGTTACACAGTAAGACCCTGTCCCAAACAATAACAAAAATGTACAAACAACAGATGTTTTGTTTTGGCAGTACTGAGGTTTAAACTTAGCCTCGTACCTGTTAGGCACAGCTTCTACCACTTGAGCCACACACCCCCATAAATATTATCTTAAAAGCTATCGTGGGTAAGAACTCAGCACATAAATAATGCCAAATGCCTAAAGGTAAATAAATGTTACAAAAATCTTAAAGTGAGCCAGGCACCAGTGGCTCACACCTGTAATCCTAGCTACTCAGGAGGCAGTGATCAGTAGACTTGTGGTTCAAAGCCTGGGCAAATAGTTCATGAGACTGTTGCAGAAAACGTTACAGACAGTATGACTGACCAGCGAGAATAAGACTCAAACCCGGGTGGTTGTAGGAAAGGAAAGTTT